TTATTAGGGATAAGAAAGGACTGCTATATGATGGTATAAAGAAAAAAGATTGACTTAGCAACCATAAGCTTACATGTAATTATTAATACCACCTTAAGATATGTAAGGAAATTTTATACAATTACCCAGAACATTTGATAAATCCACACTGTGGAAAAATATCTCTCAGCAATCAACAATTGATCAGTCAAATAAAATCAGTACATAAAATATTTTGGAGGTTATTTTTATTCATATGTTTTTGTGTGACTGCCAGTCTGTACATGTACCACATGGATGCAGTTGCCTGAAGAGACCAGAAGAGGTTGCCGTCCACTAGAACTGGAGTAACACATGGTTATGATCTACCCAGTATGATGCTGGGAACCAAACCCAAGTCCTCTGCAAGAGCTGGAGAGGGGAGGGCTCACACACTGAATCATCCCTCCAGCCTGATACAGGACATCTTGGCACACAGGCAGAATGTGTTCTTATGATTTTGTGTATGGAAATGGACACCAATTAAGTTGAAAATATATATCCTTTTTCAGGCATACAGCATTTATTCAGAACAAAAACCCGATTATTATTAGGGCACAAAGCAAACCTCAGTCCAGTCCGTACCATGCAGCTCATGTGTCCTGGTAACAACACTTAGGTTAGCTGTCAGCAGTAAGTTACACACAATCATTGAAATGCATACCTGAATAAGTCTGAATAACATCAAATCATGTAGTACATCACAATAAAAATGTTTACAGTTGAACAGAAAAAGGAATGCCGAGTGTGCAATCCAGAGACACAGCTAAGTCGTGCTTTGGGCAGGGTTCCTGGGCTTCTGTTAGAACAGCTGGGCACTGCTCAGTGTAACACAGCCCAAGACACAACAGAGCAGGGGTGGAGAGTACACCCTGGAAATCAGAGAATTAGTCGTGGACTCAAAGCTCAAGAAACAAGTCAGCCAAACCAAAAGCTGGTCCCTCAAATTTAACAAAGAGAAGACAGAAACAATAAAAGTCGAACGGATAACGCAAACAGAGTTCTATGTAGAGTTTTAGGAGAGCACACATGCTGTCACACCTTTAGTCCCAGCACTTGGGAGGCAGAGGCAGGTGGAGAGTGCCAAGTAAACATTGAGACAGCATGGCCCAGACTTCTGGCGTAGGCACCAAGGCCCTGAGGCAGGAGCAGGTTTAGTACAGCGGAGTGATAACAAGAGCTAAGAAAGTTTGGCAGAAACAGATACATGAGTTAATCAGATTGTGAAATCCTCATAAGGACGTTGGATTCAATAGTTAGGAATCTGCCCATGAAAGAATTGATTAGATGCTGTGGAATTTGTAACACAGAGCATCCACCATGGGCAAGCACTTGTGCTAAACATAAGAATAGGAAGATGATGATATGAGAGTACATCATATGTGTGCATATGTGTGCCCAGTATGGTACACAGTGCAGGGATGTCTGAAGTGTGGTGAGGACCATCATGTAAATTCACATATACATGTATACATGTGTACATATACACCTATACATATGCATTTGTGTGCATATAAATTTGCATGATTTGTTTACATATATGTATGCACGAGTGCATGCATATATTCACACATAAAAGTATACATATTTGCCTGCACATACATATATTCTCATGCATATGGACACATATGTATGCATATGTATACTTTTTTGAAACCAGGTCTCATAGCACAGATTAACCTAAAACTCACTGTGTAGCCCAGGATGGCCTTAAACTCATGATCCACCAGCTTTCTGAATGTTGCATTATAGGTGTGCATCAATAGCTATAAGAATGTATGTTAAAGGAAGTTACTTGGGTGCTTTCTAGGGTAGCTTATGTTTTCCTATTAGCCCAAGGAGACTGAAACATTCTTTCTCACCTAGGAGAAGTTACTGCCAAGTGATGTTTCTCGTAGGTGAGCTCATAGGTGAGCTAGACAAGGCGAACACAGGTCTTAAGTCCAGTTAGAGCAGCAACAGCCACTTCACATCCCTGGTCCTACCCGTTGCTTGTCTTTTGCACTTCATACTCTTGGGTTTTTCTGAGCTTGGCTGTTACTCATCTGGCTTTTGGGTGTTTCTGGTGAAGAAAGGATTGACCTGGACAGTTTTCTGCACTCCCTACTAGTTCAGAGATCTCTGCTCTGACATTAAATGTTGACACCAACATCACTGTTCCCACACCTGGACTGTTGCTGAGGAAGACAGAAAATAGGGCTGAGGCTGTTGCTCACGGGAGAGTGCTCGCTCAGCATGCTTGGGGACCTGGGCTTGAACCTCAGCACCACAACATAAACCAAAAAACCCAGTATATTATTGTATGTATTATATATGTGGGGGGTTAGTAGAATGACTTACGGGCTGTGTGGTTCAGCCAGTCCAGGAGTGGTTCAGTCCAGAGGCTGGATGTCTCAGCTGGTCTTCAGCATAGGCTGGAATCCTAAAGAAGTTCTAATGCCAGTGAAGGCAATGCATGGACTTGCCAGCAAGAGCAAGCAGGCAAAGAGAGAAAGCATCCTTCTCCCATGCCCTTTATATAGGCTACCATCAGAAGGTGTGGCCTAGGTCAAAGAGAGTCTTCCCACCTCAAAAGATCCCAATCAAAAGTGGGTATTCCCACCTCAAATGATTTAATTAAGAAAAAAGCCCCTCGCGGGTTTCTCCTGTTCAGACATTTACCCCAGACTATTCTTGTGCCATCCCCAGGTGTCTGTATTGTGTCTTCAGTTTTACAGGGGTATCGGTCCCAAAGGCGAAGAGAAGCGCACAGGGAGAAGCACTAAGCAATGCCTCATACAAATGCTTCCTCCCTTCGCTCTTTGGAACAGGTAATTACTGTGGCAACTACAAACTAATTTGAAGCGTTAGCTGTTAATTAAAACATTGCAGAGGTGTATAGTTGTCTTTTGGTGTAACCAGAGCCTCCATTCAGACTTCATTAATCACTTTCCAGTTAATGTGCTGCGGAAGGTCAAGACAATCGAGACGCACTATCTGCCGAAAGTAAACAAACTCTTTCTCCAGGTAGGACGCTGATCGCCGAGTTGAGGGAGCTGGCTGAGCTCAGATCCTGGCATTGCCTTTGTCATCCATTTCCCCCTGATGATTAAATGTGAAATTGGCCCTGTCACCAGATTGTAAACCAAGCCACAAGCTTTCTTTATTGCTCGAAATGGAACCCAAACTTGCATGGATGAATTAGCGTGCGTCATAATTAAATCATCAGGTCTCCCTTTCAATTCAGTTGGAAATGGGAGACCTTTCTTTGGGGAAAGAGATCGGCTTTCTTGACAGGCTAATGAAGTTGCCAAACTTCCCAATGCGCTGTGTGTATGTTGGGCTCTCGGGTAATCGAGTTCTCATGGCCACAGCTGGTCTCAGAAGGCCATGTGTTGCCCCTTGTCCAGAGAACCAGCACTGCTGTCCCCCAGCTTCAGAGTGTCTGTCATCGTCCTTTAGTCCTTGACTAGTGAAGCTGAAGTCGGAAGCATCTATAGTGTACCAGTGAAAGTAATGTCATCATTTAATCTTACACCTTGAATTATTTATATTTATGTGGGAAATTCCTCACATATATTTTAAAGGACACATAGTCCATCAACTTCTGCAGCCACTGGGGAAAATACAGTATATGCTACAATTAGTATCGCGTAAGTGGACACTGTCGCCACCCACTCACGTCCCGGCCACCAGCCACCTGATGGGAGCGTGTGAAATCCTCCGTGGGGCAGATGCGGTTCTTCCCAGTTCACTATGGGCTTGCAGTTACAGCACCTGCGTGTGTTATGTGTTTCATTTTAAATTTTTATATAAAATAGTTTGTGTCCCAGTAATGGTGAGAATATGTAGCTCATGCCTTGTGAATATAAAAGTGTAAATGTATGCACATTAGATCTTGATAGAAGATGATTTTATTTCTGTAAACCTTAATTTCTTACTTTCTATAAATGAATGAATGAATTCTTGCTTGCTTGCTTGCTTGCTTCCTTTCTTTTTCTTGTGCTGGGGACTCCAACACTGTGTATTATTTATGCTGGGCAAGTAAGTACTCTACCACTGAGCCATAGCTCCAATCCTATTAATATTTCTTAATCTAGATAATGCTATTTCAGAGTCTCTGAGTGTCTTGCTAACTTTTCTATTATGGTGATAAAATACCATGACCAAGGCAGCTTTAAGAAGAAAGTGCTTAATTCATGGCTTCTGATTTCAGAGGGACAGAGTCCATGATGGCGAAGCAAAGGTGTGACAGGAACAGCTGAGCTTACATCTTGATCTGCAGTTTGGAAGCAGATAGAGAGACTCTAGAATCCTCAAAGCCTGCCCCAGTGAGGCACTCTTCCAACAAAGCCACACTTCCCACTCCTTCCTAAACAGCTTCTCCAACTGAAAACATTGAAACATTTGAGCCTTTGGGAGCCCTTCTCATTGGACACCACACTGAGCCTGCGTCTCTATTTAAGGAAAAAATGAGGCATATGCTCAAGCCTCATAACTGTATTTCCTATGAAAAATGGTACAAAAAACCATAGTCAGAACTCATCCCATGATTGGTGATTATTTTGATAAAATACTATGATATGATGTCTCTACTTATGGACCTTAAAGAAAAGTAAAAACCTTCATTTTGCTGCTTGTACATGACTTCAAACACACAATGACAACAAGGGACCTAGGGCCAGAAAACCTGAGTTTTAAGGTCTAGTTCTGCTGCTGCACACTTGGGTGTTGGACAAACTGCTTAACTTCCCCATGCTTCAGAACTCTAAGAGGAGAGTAATAAGAACAGCGTGACTTTCGAGCAATATTTTAAGATACATAATCACTTCATAAGCCATTTAGCATCACATAAATATATGTTGTTTTTGTGGCCATTTGCCTTGAAGGTACCAGGTCTGTCCCCCATTGTTGCAGAAACGTTTGAGTTGATGCTATGTCCTTAGCCATTCTGTAGGTTACCTAATGATATCAAGTAACTTTGTTTTCTTTTCTTCCTATAGAGCATATCATGTCCCAAGTGGGAAAATTTTAGCTGTAAAGGTAAGCATTGGGTATATTTTATACAAATTTGTATGTGTCTGAGTGTGAGTGTGAGTGTGTGTGTGTGTGTGAATACATGTGATTGTGGGTGTGGTCCATGTGACATGGGCACACATAGAAATCAGAGGAGGATGCTGGGTGACCTGCTCTATTAGTCTCTCTCACTTAGCCTGGAGCTAGGCTGGTCCTCCCATCTCCTCCTCCCGTCTCCTCCTCCCACGGTGCTGGACTTAGAGCATGCAGCCAAGACTGGCATCGTACGTGGGTGCTGAAGTTGTGCAACAAGTCCTCCTGCCTGCAGAACCATCTCAGCTCTGTGTTGTGAAATGTTTGGTGCTCACTGATTTCCTTTCCCTCTCAGCCTAAGTCGCTGGTGTACAAACTCTCTTTTCATCAGGAGGCTTTTTACTGACACGCCATTCAGACCCTCATGCAGTCTGGCAGTGACCTGCCTTTACAGACACACTTTCTGCTTCATGGGTCAGCTAATGACTCTTTGCCACACCTTGTCTCTGGTCTCTGGGCATTTAGTAATGGAAAGTTTTTGTTTTTGAATAGCTGCTGGGTGCTGGGTATCACAGTATGTGTTTTAAAGTTACATTTAATCCTTAAAACGCTGAGCTAATTCTAACCATTTTTAGATTTGAAGAAAGTGGGACTCATAGGGTTGATTTGTGCAAGGTTGTTTGAGAGGCATGGTGAGGATTTAAAGGATGTCCGTCCGCCTCTAAAGCTAACATCCTCCAGGTGCTGTGCAGTGTTTGTCCAAATGACTGCTTTTCAACCCTCTGCTGTCTACCCAGCCTTTCAAAATTCATCTCCAAGATGCCCTTGTAACTCCATCCGCAGTAAGCAATTGGTCTCTTGCCCAAACACTTCAGTTTGTATTTCTGTGTCTTATATCTTAAGGAAACTAAGGATTTGCACAATGGTTATTCCATTTTTATTAAAGTTAAACTAAGGCTCAGCTCTGGATTCTAGTACATTCCAAGGTTCCCTTAATGTCTCACACCTAGTTCAGCACCTACATCATCGTGAGGTCTAGTTTTAGTAACAGATAACGTGTGTGGCGAGGCCCAGCAGACTCTCTCAGGATGCCTTTGAAACTCCAAACAAATTATAGCTATGTAGGTGAGCTTAGGAGGCACCATTGAGGTCATTGTAGGCCTCAATTTTACACGACGGTCCCGAGAGTTCCTGGAGTAGGGGTGTGGGGATAAGCTGTTTCCCAGCCTTTCCCTCTGTTAACCTACATTGAACCATCTTCTGTGTCTCCCTTGAGCTCTCATTTGATGAGAGCATCCCATTAACTGAGCAGTGTTTTCCTGTCTAAGTCTTAGATTATTATTCTGCTTTTGTATGTAAAGACAGTCAAATCTCAGTTTAATTATTCCAAGAGAAGGAGAGAGCATCACTACAAATGATCCAGAACCCTTGGTCTTGTAAAAACATAAAATTTTCATATTCCATATATTTTAAGTTATGTTTAGGGTAGGCTAATATTAAGATTCATGGGTACAGTTATCTAATTGGGTGTGGCAAATGACCAGCAGCTGTTCAGAAAAGGACTAAAGGTCACTTAAGAATATACTTATTTACAGGCTGGAGAGTTGGCTCAGTGGATAAGAGCACTGGCTGCTCTTCCAGGGGACCCAGGTTCAACTCCAGCACCCACATGGTGGCTCACAACTGTCTGTGACTCTGGTTTCAAAGGATCCAACTCCCTGATGCTGGTATAAATAAATGCAGGCCAAACAATCAATGCACATAAAATTTTTTAAAAAAAGGAATATACTTTACAAAATAACTGTTAGTTAGATTTTCACTATATGCGAATAGCTGGAGTTTACAAATAAGCTGCTCACTGGGCTGGACCTTTGAACTGGGCTTTCTAGCAGGACCTGTATTCTGCAAACTGAATCAAATAGTGATTAATTTTTGTGTATAGACTTGATCTTGATAACCAAAGCAAAAATCATATAGATTATAGAATGGTTATAGTTGGAGAAAATGTACCATTTCTTCACAGCCTGAGTGGTGCATTAATTCTTAGAAATTTATTATTTAGTTTCCAAATATTGGAAGGCTTCCAAGTATTTTTCAGTTATTGACTTCAATTTAATTCCAATGTGGTCTAAGAACATATTGTATAATTGGAATTATTCTAAATTAATTTGGCTCAAAATATGGTCTTTGCTTGTGAATCTTCCTTGTGCACATAAAAAGAATATACAATCTGAAGAAAATGAATTGTTGTATAAACCTTTGTTAGATCAAGTTGACTTTAGTTTTAATATCTTTCATATCTGAACTGAATTTTTTCTACTTATTCTATCAATTACTGAAAAAAGAGTGTTAACATTTTCAACAACAGTTGGACTTTGGTCTGGTTCTTTTTTCTTAAATTTCCGCTGCTCTCTGTTATCATTTTTGAAGATGTGCTATTAGTTTCGGTAGGATTCTTATCACTTGGATAAACTGGCCTCTTTATCGTAATGCAGTGACTGTTTTGTTCATGGCCATCTGTGCTTTGAAACTATATTGGCTAATATAGACCTAGTCACAGCAGCAACTACATTTCTGCTAATGTTGGTTGGCCTTTCAGTTGAACCTAGCGCGTCTCTGTATAGGAAATAAATTTCTCTTAGACAGCGTGTAGTTGGATCTTATAATCTAGTCTGATGATCTCTGCTTTTTTAATTAGAGTGTTGGAACCACTTATATTTTCTGTGATATGATTGGATTTATATCTCTTGTTCTGTTTATTGTTTTCCATTTCTCCTGGTTGTGTACCCACTCTCCCTCCACTGTTTTTGATGGTTCTCTAGAGTTTATAGCATCCATCTTTAGTCTTCATATAAGGCCCTTCATCAGTGCTCTGTTGCTGTGAAGAGACACCATGACCAAGGCAAGTCTTATCAGAGGAAGTGTTAATTGGGGCATGCTTACAGTTTCAGAGGGTTAGTCCATAACCATCACTAGATATAGGATCTAGACTGACTGGCTTTCTTTTTGAATTTTAAAGATCTTGTTCCAATGTTGATTTTATATTTTCCAGCCGTGTGCTGATTATCCTGTATGTTCATTATTTTTCTGTTTGTTCCCTCCCCTGGCTTCTCTGGCTTTTGTTCAGTTTTTTTTTTTCTTTGTGACAGGTTATGGTTACAGTTTACAATACACGGTTATGCTGGGCTTGAGTATGATTTTTTTTAATTCAGTATGCTTGAGGTTTGTTGAAGTTCTCAAATATGTGTGATTTCAGCTTTCATCAAATTTGGAACACCTTTACTTTTATCAAATCATGCTCCCGCATTGAGAACTTTGCCTACATGTTCACTTCATGATAGTCTTTTACCTGTTTTAGTTTTGAAATATTTCTCCTCTGGAATCTTCAAGTACACTGGCCTTTTCCTCCTCATTGTCTAAGTGCTATTTCTCCTGCTCAGTGTATGTTTTATTTTTAATTTCAAATACTCTTTTTATATCCCTAGAAGTGTAAGTATGCCTTTTTGCTTTAAGAACATTTTCCATGTTGTTCTTTGATGTGCCCAACCTTTTTTTAAAACCTTCTAGAGTATGTGGAATAATTATGACAACTGTGCTCGATAGTTTTATGTCAACTTGACACAAGCTTAATGTAGATGGAGATGGTGCTTTCATTTCCCAGCCTCCCAGACCCGAATAATCACAAGAAACTATATTAATTACAGCACTGTTAGGCCTAATAGCACAGGCTTATTATTAACTGGCTCTTCCAACTTAAATTAACCCATAATTCTTGTCTATGTTTAGCCATGTGGCTTGGTACCTTTTCTCAGTGCAGCATTCTCATCTTGCTTCCTCTGCATCTGGGTGGCTACTGCAGACTGAGCCTTTCCTCTTCCCAGAATTCTCCTAGTCTGGTTTCCCTGCCTATACTTCCTGCCTGGCTAATGACCAATCAGCGTTTTATTAAACCAATATGAGTGACAAATCTTTACAGGGTACAGGAGCATTTTCCCACATCACCTTAAGTTACCTGAGAGGAGAGAAACTCAATTTAAAAAATACCCAGCTTCTGAACAATTCTCTTGGGAAATAGAAGTTTCAACTTATTGATGACCTATGCTGATAAATATTTTGCATATGTTATCTTCATTTATGACCTTTGCTGCTATTACTGCTTCTCATTTGGCAGACGTAGAACCTGAGACACAGAGCAGTTAAACAACTTGCCCAAGGTCCTATACCTAGAGAGCCCCGAGGCCAAGATGCAAACCCTTGCCTTTGCTGATCTCCACCCCTAGGTGCAGTTCCCAGCACCGTTCCCCTCTCTAAAGTAGGCTCCGTGTCATTTTTCCACTGATTTCTTTTCTCACTGCTGGGACAAATGCCTGGCAGAAGCAGTTTAGGGAAGGGAGGGTTGATTTTGCCACACAGTTGGAGAGGGTAGCCATCATGGCAGCAGGAGTGTGCAAGGTAGCTGGCTACTCTGTGTCTGTGTCAGAAAGAGACGAAAACCAGTGCTCTTTTCTTCTGTTTGTTCCAGGACCCCAGCCCACGGTGATGCTGCTCACATTCAGGATGGGGCTCCCTTCTTAGTTAACCCAATTCAACTCCTCCACAGACATGCCCAAAGCTTGTCTCCTAGGAGATTCTGGACCTGTTAGATCAATCAATATAAAATAATCAATACCAACCACCATACAGCCCAGACACACTGAAAACACTCTTGGATGGGAGGTGGAACCCTCCACAATGCATCTTTTATAGCTTGTTCTTACGTTTTCTGATCTCTGTGCCTTTTGTTTTGTTTTACTTGAACTTGTGCCCTCATCTGAACCTAGGATGTTTTTTTTTTTTTCTCATTTCAACAAGTTAATTCATGTGCGCCTCTCTAATTAGAATGCCTTCATCCGTGTCTTCAACTATTAGAACCCTTAACAACCTTCAAGGGCCTGCTCTTTGATTCTGTCACATGTTTGCATCTGTCAGCCACTTTCCGGAATTCTCGGCATGTAATTCCTAAAGGTGGCCACATGCCACCTTGCACATGGCTGCTGGTGTCATGGCCATTTTCTCTAATGTATTGAAATCTTTTAAACGTGGAGAACAGAACTGAGTGTTTTGTTGCCTTCCCTACAGGGCCTGGCACTACATGTAGCGAGTGTAGAAACACATAAGTTACTGACTGAATACAGTTTTGTTGTTTAATTTAGTCATTTATGTTTTTGTTGTTTCAGTATTTATCTTTTGAAGTAACATACTGAAAACAGGTTTAGCAACATACAGAATACCCGCTAGTGTTCTTTGTATGGAGACCATTGCTCTCCCCCAGAATATTTCTTAGCTCCTTTTGTTATATTAAAGGGTGAAATGGAAGGTTAAGAGTTAGAGGCACATTTGATCTTTTCTTGACCCTCTCCCGACTTTTGTGTGACTTGAAGCGTGTCCCTTGACCCTCCCAGTGACCCCAGTTGCCTGGTGTCACAGAGGAACTGTACAGAGCAGCAAATCATGGCCCCTGTCCGGGTGGAGTCACCTGCAGGGCTCTGCTGCCTGCATGGAGCCATGGGGGTTTCATTTCCCAGCTCGCGTCAGTTGGCCACACTTTGGATGTCTGTGGGATCAGTTAGAGGGGAGCCTGGCTGGTAGCACTCCCAGTTAGTATGCATTCGTCATCGAGTCCTGCTCTTTAAAGACAAGCAGCACACTGCAGCATTTCCTTCCCCGGGCTTGAGATGTGACGAGAGAACTTTCCAGGTATTTTTTTTAAAAAGCTAATTTTGGGAAAAATAAGAAGTTCTCTATACCATGAAATTTAGATTTTTTTTTCTGCTTCACAGAGCACTTTTAGAAAATGATGTTAACTACACGTCAGAAATAACTGATTATTACCTGCAAACTCGCTGAAACGCGTTCGACCAGCTTTTGTTTGTTTGGTATCCGTAGCAAGACCATTGCAAATAAGTAGAGCAGAAAACAAACACAAATACTGTTAGCCATCCAGCAAGAAGAACCTTTTCTGCCACTAATGCCTCCTATAAAGTCTTTCCAATAGTAATGCTTGGGGAATTTACTGGATTCCCCAGGATTATTTGTTTTCTGATTGGGAAAAGAATCCATCTAACGGGATTTCTTAGCCTTGTATGCAGCATGCGTTGATTATCATTCCCGGAGTGCTTTGGGTTTCTGCAGCCTTTAAAACAGCATTTAAATGGACCATTTGATTAATCATTTGTATCCTGGCTGTAATCCTCCCAAATTTCCTTTCTGAGTTGTACATACTGTAAAAGACAATTATGTTGCCACAGATTAAATAAGTGAATTAAAACAGAATAGCGGCCTAATTTGACCTGTGATTTTGTTCTCCCTGCCTTTAGTGGAGCGCATGCCACTCCAGCAAATAAATGAAGTCATCCATGACAGCTCGTGATGAATTGCCGTATTTATACTGTATATTTTAATAGTCTCACACTAATTTAAATTGAGCACAGAGTAAATTATAATTCAGTCAGTTGACTGCTTGTATTTAACTTGACAGCGCATCCTCGTGTGTCCTGGAGGTGTTAGCAGAGGGAGAGCGGTGGGAAGGCAGGCAGGTACCTCCGCGCAGGCTGAAGCCTTTCTCTGGGAGCTGCTTCCAGCTCCTCCTCTTCAGTCAGAAGCACTTGGCTCAGCTTGAGGAGTGAAGACTCGGGCGGTCCGCAGTGACCTCAGAGTTCAAAGGGAAAATCCAGTCACTGCTTTCCTCACTGCCTTCAGAGGAAGGACTGGCCTGTTCATTTTTAGCAGTTTTGAAGCTCACTGGCAAGGATGCCCAGGGGAGGGAGTTAACCTTTCACCAAGTACCAGACTCCTGGAAAACAGAGCCTCGATGTGCTCTGTGGTGGCATGGGGATGACTTCCCTTCTCAGATTTGCAAAATGACCTGATTTGCTTTTTGGGGTCATGGAAGAGAGCTCCAAACCGATTAGAGCAGTGGACCAGCTCCACGAATACAATAGTCCCCACCCCAGGCTTGGTCAGTGCGGCACTTTGATGTCCGCATCTTTGGTTTTTGGTTTAGTTGCAGACATCACATGATCCAGTCCCTTCGTGTCTAATAATAGCACATCTGGAGACTGTCCTTGAGGAACACTTTAATTAAGGCCCCTTCTCAGTGACCGGGTGATACTGTGAGCCCTGGTGCTGGGCGCTGAGGAATAAAGAACGCTCAGACCCCCTTGCCCTTGAAGCATCTGGCACCCTGCGCTGGAAGCCGAGTGCGGTAAAGATGAGGAAGGGTCAAGCCAGAGATGAGTTCTGATGAAGGGCTTTGAGGTGGGTGTGTGGAGGTGGTGAGGCATTCAAGCTGGCTCTAAAAGGTCAAACTAGCTTTTGTACTCAGTGACTGGAGTGGAGAGAGGAAACACTGGTAAGGCGGTGTGGGTGGCAGGAAGGCAGCTGTGTAGGAAGAGTGAGGGAAGGGGTTCGCTTGAGACATGACCTCTTGGTGCTATGGAGTTACATCTTACTTCCAGGTGATGGAAACTCATGCAAGGCTCCCAATCGAGGAAGAGAAAAGGTCTCCGTAGATTGGGATTAATTTCACAGTGTTGGCTAGTGGTCTGCGTTGGTAGAAAAGGCAGTGCCCACCCCCACCCCACCCCACACACCTTTCTTTCTTACTTAAATGGGTGTCCGCACTAAGAATATACACAATGTGCATATTAACCGGAGATGGTGGTTGAGCTGGGGTGTGGCTCTGTGGTGGAGCGCTCGACCAGCATCTGTGAGAAGGCTGAGCTCCAGCCCCAGTGCACACACCTGCTGAGGAATGAGGAGAGTCTCAGTTAAACTAGAGCACCTCCTAGGCAAGTTTAGGTCCACACACATGGATATTTCTGTGTCATAAAATCCACATTAGTGGCTGATACTTAAGGAAAACCACAACACTTCAGGGGGCCCTGGCAAATCGTGGGAGTCAGATGACCTGTGACCCTGTCCAGCTCTCAACTGTCAGCATTTGTAAAGAAGCATTACCCACATGGGAGGAAGTAAGGTGGCAGGACTTTTAAACTCCCATTTTTTTTTATTTCTAAAAATCCCATTTTAAAATGTTATTTTATTTACCACCCCTCTGCTTATCTTTGAGTCTGTGGCTCACAGGGCTCTTCTCTTTTAATGATCTTCTTCTGAAAATAGCCAGTGTGGCTAAAATAGGGCACATAAATTGAGTGTTATAACTTAACTGACTTTTAAAGCCATTAATGCTGACCTCTGAGACCTGGTTTCTTCCACGGTACCATCAATCACTTCTGTACGCCTCCTCCTATACAAAGGCTTAGGCAGATAGAGAGACAGTGTCTTGGTGCTGGGAACTATAATTGGGAGTGGGGGGTGTTACATAAATAAACTACCACATTTCTTTAGGTTTTGTGTTCCGCATGCTGTGTAAATAAAGGTGGACATGTGCTGATGCTGTCGTGTGTCTGTGATGCTGCCGTGTGTCTGTACTCAGGATATTCTCTAGACATCACACTGGTGCTGATGCTGCCGTGTGTGTGTACTCAGGTTATTCTGTAGGCATCACACTGGTGCTGATGCTGCTGTCTGTCTGTACTCAGGTTATTCTGTAGGCATCACTCTGGTGCTGATACTGCTGTCTGTCTGTACTCAGGTTATTCTGTAGACATCACTCTGGTGCTGATACTGCTGTCTGTCTGTACTCAGGTTATTCTGTTAGACATTACACTGGAGCTACAGAAGCAGATCATGTCTGAGTTGGAAATTCTTTATAAGGTAATTTTTTTTCTTGGTCACTTTTATCTATAAACATGTTTATGTGTCAGCTCCAGGTTTTAAACCACTTTTGTCTTGTTTTTGTTGCAGTGTGACTCATCATATATCATAGGATTTTACGGGGCATTTTTTGTAGAAAACAGGATTTCAATTTGTACAGAATTCATGGATGGTAAGTTCTCCTTTTAAACTATATTCAAAATGGCATTTGGAATCAGTTGCCTTAAACTTGGTTTTGATATAGACGTCAAGTAAATTTTAGGATGATTGAAGTGTGTTAATTATTGTTTTCTTTACACTAGCAAGTCCCTTCCTGTAAAAAGGTTCCTGGTGTTAAATATTTGTAGCTGGGTTGTAATTTCAAGACTGCAAGTTGGTTTCCTTTTACTAAAAACAGACGACACGCAGGTCCAGTCGGCACGTGGTCCTCGCTGCTTCTGTGCAGCATGCCTTGCCGGGGAACAGATGTTCTGTTCTTTTAATGTTTCAGTCGCCAAAACAGATTTTCTTCTAAAGAAATCTATTAACCCAATGTCCTGTGTCTTTCAGAAAGAAATAGGTTCTTAATTGCTAGACAAGAAATTGTTTTTCAACACAGCTGTTTAGCTGAGATGCATTTGGCTCTCTTTGGACTTCAGTCCTGCCCTCCCTGCTCTCTGTTCACTGCTATCGGTAGCTCTTCCTTGATCTAAATATTGTGACAGAGTACAGACTTCTGGGAATCCTGTCATTATTATTGGCTGTCCACATTAAATCTGGGCACATTTTCACCTTTTCCAAGGTCAGCTTTTAAGTTTCTAGCCTCTGTTAAAATGCAACCTACATGCCCTTCTACTTCCTAGGTCCACATACCGTACATAGACAGACCATATACACCCAAATATACTACATATACAAACAAACACACTGCATACACACACATATACATACATGCCACACATACATACACCACACATACCCACAGATAAACACTGTACATACACACATATACAAACTACACATGCAAACATATACACACATGAGCAATTGCGTTCACCTATCTTCTTCTTTAGTTCACACACCACACACATACACCATGCATACACAATTACCACACATATACACCACGCTACACACATGACATATATACCACAAATACACACAAATGATTGTACCTTTCTATCTTGTTAGGTATGCACACCATCCACACTGCACATATACACCACATACACACACGCAAGTACAAACACTGCACATACACACCACACACATATACTCCCCCCCCCATAGCACATACACAGGCACACTTTCCTACTTTTTTAGGTAAACACACATTGCCCCACACATACACACATGCACACCATACATACACATACATACACACCCACATATACACAGATGCACACAGGTACATACACTCACTCAGGTGTACACAAACACACAAGCACTCTTGTGGGTATTTTTGGTATGATACCAAATCATATAACCATATAGGTAGTGTGAGTGGACACATTGATTAGAAAGCATTGGTTCATAATCCCATTACAGACCACTCTTTGAACTTTTACCATTTGAGGTCTGCATAATGTTTCAGTTACATTAAAATACTTTTTATTTGCCGGGTATTGGTGACTCACGCCTTTAATCCTAGCACTCAGGAGGCAAAATCAGGTGGATCTCTGAGTTTGAGGCCAGCCTGGTCTACAGAGTGAATTCCAGGACAGCCACGGCCTCACAGAGAAATCTCGTCTCAAAAAGCAAAAACAAAACAAAACACTTTTTATTTATTATTCATATGCCATAAAATTCACCTTTTTGAAACCTACAACTTATTATTGTCTAATTTCAAAACATTCTAAAGAGAAATCCCCAGCCAACTTAAGTTGTTCATCTCATCCCTTCCATCCCCCACTCCCCCCGGCAATCGTAGGTCTCCTTCCTTCCCCTGTGGATGTGCCTGTTCTGGATACTGCACATTGTTTGTCACCAGGATCCTATAGTCTGCAGCCTTTGTGCCTGGCGTCTCTTGCTTAGTATACCGTTTCCAAGTTCATCCATAACGTGGCTGCAGCAATCCACCATCCCTTTTCACGGCTGAAGAGTATTTCATTGAGTGGCTGTACAGCATTGGTTTTTCTTTAATTGATAGTCACTTAGGATATTTCCACTTTTTACATATAAAAAGTATTTTTATCACATGTCTGTGTGTGTGAATGCATGCACACACAATATGCTTGTGTGCTTCTGCTTGCTCTTGGAGGTCAAAGGACAGCTTATGGGGGCTGACTCTTCCCTTCCACCTTGTGGGTCCCGGGGATCACATTCAGGTCATCAGGCCTGCTGGTAGCAAAGTTATCAGATCCTGTGGCAACTCCTAAGTTTTGAGGAACTTTTAGTTGTTCTAGTCTGTCAGTGTTCAGATCATTTGCAGTTACTTGTAATTACTAAAAAAATATTGCAACTCAACAATAAAAACACAAGTCACTCGCTTAAAAACAGACAATGGAGTTGAATGTGAATTTCTTAAAGGAAGATGTACAATGGCCAACAGCCACATGAGATGTCTACAACAGTGATTGTTAAGGAAACCTAAATCAAAACTAAGTACATGTTCACATCTGAGACTGTGCATACATACAAAACAAAATCAACCACATGATAATAAGTATCGGCAAAGGCATAGGGAAGGAGGAATCCTCAGACAACATTTGTGCGAATCTGAAATGGTGTAAAATAGACTAGAACAGCTTGGCATTTCCTTACAAGTTAAACAGAGTTATCACGGGACCTAGCAAGTCAACCGCTACAGAAGCCCAGGAGAACTGACTAGCATACAAACCCAGTAGCCTGCTGCAGTGTGACAACAGCCGTGTTGCTCACAAGTGACCAAGAGTGGAAACATCCCCAGCCATCAAGATGGCTCAGCGGGTAGAGATGCTCGCCCTATATTGCGTTTCTCATATGCCATCTCATGCTATTGGTCCTGTGTCTTTCAGTTACTGTACATTTAACCTCACAAGTTCCTGTTCTGTTCATGTCATTTCTAAGCATTAATAGTCTGTTTTGGGCAGAAAGGGCTAGCATCCTGCCTCTCGTTCGGTTTCTAATCATGGCTGTACAATAGGGTGATTTGAAGGTTAGCATATAGTCTTCTGGTCATGTACAACACAAGGCACACAAAACCATCACTCTGTGTATCACCCTCCAGCTTTCATTCCCTCCTGTGCAGTCCAGTTTCTTGACATCTTCCTCTCTGGTTTATTTTTATCTCATGATGTGATTTATATGCAATATTTACTAAGCATTTTCTTTCAGATGCCATTGTAAACCTGTGGACTCCACAGTGACCAAGACTGAGCCCTTGTCCTCACAGGACATGTATTCTAGTGTGACCTTGTCCTTGCAGGGTGTATTCTAGGACATACAGTATATTCTCAGGAAGGAATAAGCCGTGAGAGCATAAGGCAGGATGGGCGGGCTAATAGCACACACAGGTGCCGAGTGGGCATCAGAGACAGAAGTGACAACGAGCAGGAGCCCTACTGAGCTAGTCAAGGCTCAGCGCTGGGATGCTCTTACCAGCAGAGAGAGCAGCACGTGTTAGTGCTCCCAGATGAACACAAGACCACCGTGGTAGCCAGAGTGATGTTGTGAGGACCAGAGGCTGGCCAGGAGGCCTGAATGGTCAGAGCATAGACCAAGCAAGACCTCGTGGGCCTCAGAAGCTCTAGCAAGGAGTTTAGGGTGGAGGCTGAATTTATTAGGAAGACATTGGGAAGTTATTTAAGGAGAAGAATGTAACCTATTTTTATACTCAGTCCAAACAAAATCAACTCAGAAATGTCCTCCTGGAAGATCTCAGAGTATGGACATGTTTGAGTTATCACCATGGGAATAAATTGTGCTCCCCTTCCCCAAAAAAGCCTACATTACAAAGAAGGAAAGGGCTTTTATATTTTCAGCCAGGAGAAACTTAAAAGAGACCTTGTGTTAATTTTTTAAATTGTTTTTTATTGAGCTATACATTTTTCTCCACTCCTTTCCCTTCCTCCCCTCTCCCCTTCTATCCTGCTCCATGACCCCCATGCTCCCAATATATATTAATTTTTTTTTTTTTTTTTTTTTTTTTTGCTGTTAGAGCAGTCCTCCTCTGGCTTACCATGTGGGCGGTGGCATGCAGTACAGTAGGTGGTTGTGATGGGTGGGGGCGGCCAGGGAAAACAGAGGTGACACTCACAGGGAGCAAGCCTGTGACCTGAATAAGGAGCTAAAAGTTCCAACGCTGGAACCAAAAGGGGTTGCCTAACCTGGACCTATAGATCAGTGGAGGAGCCCTTGCTTCAGTGTCTGAGATCCCAGGTCCCAGTTCAGTGAAAAAACAGTCTTGAATAACAAATCTCAGGCCACACGAAACTGTCAGTGTGTGTCGTCATACCACTCTGTGGAGAGGTAAGACTCATCTAAACATCTGACCCCACTGCCATGTGTTGTTGGGAGAGAGGGTAGTGGGTTTGTTTGATGATGTTCAGAGGCTTGCTCGGGTCTGCTGTGAGCTCTGCCATCCGCTGACCCGTGAGTGTGGTTGTCACATTGGCATTTATGGGACTCAGTTGCAAGTAAAGTCAAATAAGGTTGGCAGCTTCGCCATTAGCACTCCTGGCCCTCACATCTCTGCTGTGCTGAGTCAGAGAGTTGCCTTCTGGAGCAGTGTAGAGAATAGAACCGGTGTGAGAGCAAGTGAGAACTCACCCAACCCTCTGCCGGTGAGCCTGTGGAGAGGGTGCCCACTACCGGACCCTCTGCCAGAGAGCCTGCAGAGAGGGTGCCCACTACCGGACCCTCTGTCATAGAGTCTGCAGAGAGGGTGTCCACTACCAGACCCTCTGCCGGAGAGCCTCAGAATCTCTTGGAATCTCAGGCTGTCTCGACCCAGTGCATCTACAGTGGCATTTCCACCTTAGTTTACCTCTGTGAGTGTGGGTGGGGTGGGATACAGCGACGACACAGAGCCAGCTACATGAAGACCTGTGCACGTGGGCGGCTGAGCACTACAGGGGTGTTCCTGGGTGCCAGGGAGATTCCTCTTCCCTTACTCTGTTGATAATGGTTGCCGTGTCACCTTTGACTTCCAGTTGAGCTTGGTGAGACCACTGTCTGTGCTCCTTCCAGCCTCTTCTGTAACTCGTGTAGAACTAAATCCCCTCCCTGTTGGTGCATGTGAGTGTTGAGTCCATTGGCTTCCCTAAGAGCTGCTCTAGTAAGCTGCTGTTGTCATTTTCCCAGATCCCACACGTGAAGCTTTTCATCTTGAGCTTACTCATCCGTGCCCCTACCAATTTACCTGAAAAATCAGTGGGCGCACGGCTGCTTTCACTTTTAGTGCATCTAGAATAAAAATGTTGTTTTAGTAAATAAGGATGTTTCCGCTCATTGCATGAGTGTCTTGTTTGGTTTGTTCGCCTCACCCCAGTAGCACTGAGAGGCACGGCACAAAGTTAGTTATACCCCGGCTAGTCAGCCTGTGCTCAGAGCCCGGGAGCGGCAAGCAGAAGTTACCTCACGGAGTGATCATTTTCCTACACCTGCTGTCATCATACGTAGGAAGCTGTAGCTCTGTGTTACGTGGACCGTTTGGAACAGAATGGTAGCTTTAGGGAACGTGGCACACTTAACAGCCTCTTTGCACAGAACATGTCCTTAACTGCATTTCGGAAGAGTGACAGGTTTCATTTCAAACCTTATTAGGTGTTTTTTAAGTCATCAGTAGTCACATCATAAATATGAAATTTTAGCCTTGACAGAAAAAAAAAGTTACTTCCCAAATATCCTGGGTACTCTGTTTATAGCCATGAAAGACTGCATCTCAGTTTGACTCTTGAGGGGATATTATGTGTTATTAGCTTAGTTTTCATCATATTGTTAGCGAGTGAAGTACTCCTCCCTGCAGAATATGTAAGTCATGTTGTTGAGAGGCCATGTCCTCTCAACATTATCGCCAGTCCTGGTCATACTTCCCCACGAGTTGGGCTCTCAAAACAGCCGACTCAGGAATTGCACAGTGACTGGTGAATCCAGGACTGTGGTGATTCTGTGACTTTGGTGAATCCAGGACTGTGGTGATTCTGTGACTTTGGTGAATCCAGGACTGTGGTGACTCCGGGACTGTGGTGACTCCGGGACTGTGGTGACTCTGGGACTGTGGTGATTTCAGGACTGTGGTGACTCCGGGACTGTGGTGATTTCGGGACTGTGGTGACTCCGGGACTGTGGTGATTTTGGGACTGTGGTGACTCCGGGACTGTGGTGATTTTGGGACTGTGGTGATTCCGGGACTGTGGTGATTCCGGGCACAGTGATGCTGTTGCTGCAGGTGGCATAAAGTCCCAGTTGCCCTTTTTGGCTAGATCTGTAGAATAGAAACTATCATGAAGCTGGGTAAGAATGAGACCCAAATCCTCTGCCATTTTCAGTCTAAGGATGACTAGCCAGGCATGGTGGCACACGCTGATTGGAGGCAGAGGCAGGTGAAGCTCTGACTGTAAGGCCAGCCTGGTCTACAGAATGAGTTCCAGATCCACCAGGACTGCATAGTGAGACGCTGTCTCAAGTCAAAAGCATACAAACAGAAAATCAACAAGGACTGAACCTCAGAGCACTCATCTAGTTGGCCGGTCTCCTGCTTCTGAGGGCTCTGCTGTGTCGTTTACTTCTCTGCCGACCCCTCTCAGAGCACGGGAAGCACAGCAGGACGAATCCGTCTAGTGGTTTTCAGTTTTGGAAAATGTCAAAGGTGATTTAGCACAAGTTGAAGTTGACAGATAAAGCAGTATAGCAGTGAGTCACAGTTTATTAAAAATAGAGAATCCGCGAGATGGTGCTGCGGGTCAGGTCACCTGCAAGCCAAGCCCAATGACCTCAGCTCAGCCCCAGCATCACACGGTGGGAGGAGAAAATAAGCTCTCAGAAGTTGACCTCTGACCTCCACAGGTGGGCACACATCCCATGCATACACACGATAGATAGATAGATAGATAGATAGATAGATAGATAGATAGATACATACATACATACATACATACATAGGTGAGCTTAAAATGAAACAAGTTAGAACTTGAAGAGATTAGTTTCATTTTTGCTTCATTGTTTTTCATGGTTGTCAAGGAGCCAGGGGTTGATTGTTCATGCTACCTAATGTCCTGAGTAACGTCTCTGAGAAAACAGCATTGCACTCCGGCTTTGCCAGTCTTTGTGTGTATTCTGAAATGCGTACCCACCCGCATTTGATAAGTGTGGAAATTCTAAGATAAGGGCTCCAGGTTCCATGTGAAAAGCTGGCACGTGAAGCACGTCAAGTGTGACCATCGGGTCCCTTTGGGCAGTTTTGTTTACATCTGCATTTTCATTAAGGGCGGGTTCTACCCTCCTCTAGTTTCCTTCCATTTTAATGACTGGATTTTTAAAGGGAAGTAGCTGGCCATGTTCTTCTGGAAGAACAGTTATGTCATCATAAAAGTAGAACTAAAACCCACTTTGCTCTCCATATCTGGTGTGTGTCATACGAATGTGGAAACCACATTCTCAGGAAGCAAGCACAGAGGCCAGTGCACGGCGCCAGTGGTTGGATTGCAGTAACACGGATGTTTGTCTCCACAGGGGGATCCTTGGATGTATATAGGAAAATTCCAGAGCATGTCCTCGGGAGAATTGCAGTGGCAGTAAGTATACTGGCTTCAGTGTAAGAGATATGATGATTCAGTCCTTCCTGTCAAGTCCACTCCTCTGTCCTCAGATGTGTCCCTTTTCTGTCTGTCCCAGCTGACTGTTGGGACCTTCTTACCGCCCATTGTTTCTGTCTTTTCCTCTTTCTCTGATTGCAGAGACCTTGGTGCCCAGGTTTCTAATTTCATCAAAGAGAAAACTGTTACAGGGGACATTTGTAGTTATAGACACAGGATTTGTAAAGAATTTAAGTGAGTGAAAGCAGTCTGTGAACGAAATATCTTTGTTATTAGATGGTTTTGTAGTCTTCTTATGCTTTTGGGTTTAGTCTTTATCTTATCTTTTAGAGACTTTACCTCAGATTCTGGGCCCTTTGTGATGAGACATTTTCCTGTCTTCTTTACTCACTAATAAATAGACAAATTATATCATATCATCTAAACTGGGATTATTTTGTAAGTTCCAGATTTGAGATTTGGAATAATGTAAGCTAACCATGTCTAAGAAGAGTCACTGGGTGCTGTAATCGTAAACAATTGCTAAAGTAAAGACGCTCTGTTAAATTAAGTGGTTTAATGCAGAACAAAGTGATTATATCATGTACCATTTAATTAAATGGCTTATTTTCACATTCATTATACATCAAACTGACAACTCAGATTCTTTAATCCAACATGGACACTTACTCAGGCGCAGTTCATTGTAATTCACAGCTTTCCTCTTTTCTTTCTAATTATTGGTGTGAACTGCCCAGGGTGACGAGCACTCTCCTTTCTGATGCTGCCTCTGCCGAGCAGCTTCTAATCTGCACGTGAGGTGGATTATTCAGGATGCCGTCTCCGTGCTGAAATCAGTGTTTGAGATGAAGACAAAAATGTTTCCTTTCCTCTTCTAATCTCCGAGGGGAATGACGGCTTTGTGGCTTTTGGCAGTTCTTGGCTCTAGAGTATAGCAACTCTATAATAAAGGGCAGGAAGAGGCGAGGGAACGGCTGGAAAGCAGGGGAGTCTGCATGTCCCGTGTTCCCATCGTCTCTTGAACTTGGGAAAATAGAAACTCACCTTGTTCAGTAAAGAAGCGTGTTCTTCCCCGGCCTCATCAGTCTTGCCTCTCTCCCGTGTAGAGCACAAACCAGACCACTGGGCTTTCTGATCCACCCAGGTTGTGAAGTGAAGAGTCAGCAGAAAAGCTGCCAGCTTTAAGTACAGGGCTTGCTTGCTTTTGGGTGATTGAAAATTTTGCAAAATACTTTAGCAAGAAGCATTAACATGAGTACCGGTTCAGGCAGGGTTGGTGGTTTGGAATCAGGAGCAGTCTCTTACAAAACAAGGCTCCTTCCTCCACATTTGCAGTGCTGCAGAGAGCTTTGGCGGTAGGAGTAGAAGAAACACTTTGCTCTTCTGATAGATAGCCTTCATAAACTCTGTTGGTCCTACACTTGTATAGTGCCTTCAACATGGTGGTGTGTGTGTGTGTGTGTGTGTGTGTGTGTGTGTGTGTGTGTGTGGCGGGGGGCTCTGGATAGACCCCGGACATGATGATTCTTTTCCACTCTGGCCCAGGGGTAGCGTCTGACACCATGAAGATCTTAGCAGTCCAAATGCAGCTATCACCCTTGATGGCTTGGCCCTCGTGGCTTGAAAAATTTACATACACACAGCTTGTTTTGGTTCCCATTTCCCTGATGGCTTTTCCCGAGTGTTCCAAAGGTGGCATCAGTTTCTTTCCTTTGAATTCCTCAGCCAGGGCAAGAAGGCACATGTAAATAGTCTCAGCTCTGTCTAGTCCAGCAACAGAATCCAATGGGTCTGTGTGTATCTGAAAGTGCCAGTCTCTGTGGTCTACTTATGTATGAGTTCGTCACCTGAGCTAAGATGAAGATGGTCGAGCACGCCAATACTTAGCAAAACGGTTAGCACAGTTCAGTAACTCACCCTGGCCAGTGCTATCCTAGATGCAGGGTGGTCTGTCTCCAGACCCATTGTTCCTTCACTCTGTTTTCTGAGAGGCAGGGCGGGGGGAGAGAGAAAGGTATTAAAGGGAAAACAAGGTTAAAGCAGAGAGAGAGAGAGAGAGAGAGAGAGAGAGAGAGAGAGAGAGAGAGAGAGAGAGAGAGGAAGAGAGAGAGAGGAAGAGAGAGAGAATGAGAATGGTGAGGATAGTGAAGAAGAATGAAAGAATGGTGGAGAAGCATATACAAACACAGTTGCTTCAGAGTTCTTTTTTCAAGTGGCATCTTGTTGTTGATCGCCTGGGCTCAGCTGTTCCTCAAGCTTCAGTTCCCCAGGACTCCAGGCATGTACCACTGTGTGCAGCCTGAGATCTTCTCATGTCTCCCAACATGAACTTAATTTTCCTGGTTCAAGTAATCCAGCATGCAAGGCAGGTCCAAGACCTGAAGGTCGTCGCCAGATGAACCCTGCCAGCATCTGTGCAATGTGACTCAAATTTTCTCATGTAGGATATATGAAGAGAGAATGTTTTTCCCTTGAAGAAATCCATAGGAAGTACCTGATCTTAGCCTCCCAGCTCTGCAGCTTCTGCCCTGCTGCCCACTGGATCTGGATTCTTACAAAGAGTGCCTTTGCCTACTACCCCCCATTTATTTCCCTCTTATGTCTAAAGCAGCGGCATACTGTGCTGTATTTTGAATGCTAATGTTAATGTTGATTGACGTTGTCCCTGAAAAGACGTGCACTTGACATGTGAAGGGGTGAATGATTGACAGCAGATAGAAGTACTGTTAGTGTCAAGGCTTTGTTAGGTGGTTGTGTGCAGCCTAGCCTACTGAATGCCAATAATCCTCCAGATTAGTGGACAGATTTTCTGCTCATTTATAAATGGATACTTACACACATTCAAGGGATATATCACCCATTTTCACAGTTGGAGCAATAATGGCTCTTTTTTGAATCCCTAACAAAATTACGATTTTATCCAATATCATCAAATTGGTGTTGTATTTCTTTTACTACTTTCAGTCTGAATCTGTTAGATTGTGTCTTGTCTGTGTGTCTTCTCATCCCTCATTTGCTATTGCACTAATGTCACTGACACACATCCTGTAACAGGGAAGTCTCATAGGACACAGCTGAGCTCTGAGTCAGGAAGTTGAACCCCACTTACTCATACCCACACTAACCATTGGGGCCTCCTCCCGCTACTCAAGGAGAAGCTGTTTTCATTGCTGATGTCTTTTTATAAACATTTGAATAATTTGTCTTATTTCCATTGATAAAACTATCATCATTTATGCTTTTATGTTAGATTCATATTCTAATTTTATTATCATAACATTTATATGTATTTATAGGCAGAGACAGTCAGAAAAGACAGACAGGCCTTTTCTAAAGCTGTGTCTATGAGTTTGAGGCCAGCCTGGTCTACAGAGTGAATTCCAGGACAGGTAGGGTTACATAGAGAAACCCTGTCCCAAAAAATTTTTTTAAAAATGCATTCTGTTCTCTTAGAACATATAAACATGGAATGGACTTGCTCACTGTGTCAGCCAGCTGATCCCCACCACCACCACCACCACTAGTACCTTCTGCTCTGAGAGAGGCGAAACAGGCTGGCCTCTTCCAGCATTAACGGACAGGGAGTTGACTTCCTAGATCTTTAACATCTGGAAATTTGCTCAATTTGTATTTCTGCTGTTTACTGTTGCTGTTAGTCATTTTTGTCAACCACACAGAGCACACAATGCACACAGAGCCCTAACCTCCTCTTCTAAAGCCGTGTTTGAGGTCCACAAACCGCTTAGTTACTTCTCACCAAGGTAGGTTTTCTTACATTGTCCTGTCTCCATCTAGAAATTTCTGTAATAAGCGCTTTTTATACCTGTAAGTGCATTTTGAGTAACAGCAGCATGTTCACTGTTTTTCTTTTAAATCCAATTATGAATAGTAAACCTTGAAAATTTAAGTTTCTATTCATGTGCTATGAATAAAACATGCATTTCATATAACAGCTACTTTTATATAAATTTGAAAGATTTATTTATTTGTTTAGTGGTACTAGGGTCTGCACTTAGGGCCTCCTGTTTGCTAGCCAAACTCTTTGTCAGTGAGCCACATACTCAGCTCAAGATTAAAAGATCCTAATGGCAATTCCTGATTAAATTTCCCACATAGAAGGTAGTAATTGCAGCCTGTATAGTTCGGGTCTTTTTCAGAATTTCATTTGGCCCACTCTAACCCTGGCAGTGAAAGAGGCTAATCGGGTGGCATTTATGCAGTGGCACCTACCCGTTTCCTGTCTGGCCTGTGCCCCGTGCTGTCTGTGTATGTCCTCCACGTGCGTGCTTTGTCCAGCGAGCGTGCCTGCTGCGGTCACCTCGGTGCCTTCCATCCTTCCCTGCTGCAATATTACAGACCTTCTTAAAATTATTTTCATTTTTATTTTATTTTTAAATTGCAGAGAAGTTTAGAAAATCATTTCAGGAGTTCCCACAGAGCCTAGGCCAAAGTTGTCCGGTGAAATTTGACACATCTGGCTGAAATGTATCTTTAGCTTGGGCCACTGCTTTCTTTTCTTTTCTTCACATCAGCTAAGTTTGCCATTTAAGGGCTGGGATCCTGATCAGGCTTTCCTAGCTGCTGTTGGGAAAGGTGATTTCTGTTTTAGCTGCTTCCTTTCATGAGTCAGTTTCTTAAAATATTCTTGCGCTAGATGTAGTTCCTTGGTACAGCACCTCCTGAGCACACGCGGGCCCTTGGCCTGCTCTCCAGCACTACCAAAAAGTAAAAGTAAAAAATTTTCCTTCATCATAAATAGCATGACTTTTAAAATCACCCAGGATTGGAGAGACGGCCCAGCAGCTCAAAAGCGCTTGCCCTTATGGACCCAGGTTTAGTTCACAGTTCCCTTGTAACAGCTCACAACTATCTGAAACTCCAGTTCTGGGCATACGATGCCTTCCTCTGACCTCCATGACCACCAAACCCACACATATGAACATACATTTATGCAGGCAAACACTCACATACATAAAATAATAATAAATAAAGTCATTTTTTAAAAAAAACCACTCAGAGGCCAAATGTTGTAGTTCATGCCTTTAATCCTAGCACATAGGAGGCAGAGGCAGGTGGATCTCTGTGGGTTCGAGGCCAGCCTGGTCTACAGAGCAAGTTCTAGGGCAGCCAGGGCAGTTTCACAGAGAACTGTGAAAAACCACACACATGCTCAGAAATATTGGAAAATTGTGTTAAAAGTCCTTATTCCTCTTTCTGTCTCTCTCCTAATCTGTCCACCCCTGAGGGTTTAGCATGTGACCTTCTGGGTTGTTTCACGACAAGTGCTCACCTCTTCTCTTTGACACACCCAGTCTTTGGAGAGCAGTGAGCTCACTAGCAAGGACCATGGTGCTCTGCAGTTGGTACCCCGAGAGCATACAGACAGGGAAGTGTTCAAGAGTCAAGTTCAGTCTGACAGTGGTTTAAAGGAAAATGTGTGCTTCGTTTGTTTAACTGTGGAACATCTCCTATAACGTCCATAACTGTACTGTTTTCTCTTTCGTAATTTTAGGTTGTTAAAGGCCTTACATATTTGTGGAGTTTAAAGATTTTACACAGAGGTATGTTCTGGGTTTTACATGTGGACTTAATATGGGGATGGAGGAGTCTCTGCAGTTGCCTTGGTTAAAGGAAGGAAAAAAAGCAACACCATTTCAGCCAACTGATATGACCATAAAAAACGTGATTGTTTGTAAATGTTGCTTCCTTACTTTTTCCCTCTTATTTCCATCTTTTCTGCCTCCTACCCCCCCCACCGCCAGTACTAACTAGGGAATTAAATTTTTGTGTAACACATTTATCAAGCATGCAAAGCACATTTTGTACTGTTTGAAAACAGCGGGCTCTGTGATATTTAGCTGGGTCCGGCCCTCCCCTTCCCCAGTCCTTACAGAATGTCAGGCATCTTCCTGAAGAGACTGCTTCCTGTTCCCTGGAAATGAAACTTTAGGCAAGGACCTAATGATAGAATGAGAAACGGTTACTTGTTCTGGTGACATGGGAGAGAAGGGTCTGGTATGTGTCGTGTTACAGGAGGAGCCTCCTGTTTGTCTAATGTTCCCAAGATGTCTGAATTCATTGGGAGCAAATTGCGAAAAGAGAAAGAGATGGTGGCAAAGCCAAACCACACGCCCAACTTAGTACACACCTGCTGGTCCTGACTATGTACATCTGGGGAGCGCAGCAGTCGGTGTACAATGAGACGTGATTAAAGGAAAGGGTTTTGTTTGTTTGTTTTTAAATTTGGTTTCAGCCAGGCATGACTTCTTTGTAGGTGGTCTCAATAGCCCCATGCTTCCCAACTTTTTCACCCTTTTTGTAGAGACTATCTCTGTTTGGAAAAACACAACGTTCAGTTTTTGAAGGCATTTGTGCTGACTAAATGGAATCTTAAGATCCCCGTTGCCTCCACCCTCACCCCCGTAATGCCATTGTGTTTCTAGGGTGTAAAAGGTACCAGAGTGGTGGCTGAGGGAGCCGGGCTGGCTTAGTATCACTCTCCTAGGTATCAGTATGTGAACCCATCTGCTGAGTGGTGAGCTAAAGAAAGGGGTTTTCTAACCTGGTCAGCAGGGGCTGCCTTCCCTTCCTGTGCTTCTGCCCCTGTGCAGCACCATGGAGCTATCATAGCCAGGGCCCGTTTGCTTGCCTTTTCCAGACATCTGCTGTCCGTTTGGCATGGGATCTAAGGGAAGGCGCCCGTGCTCAATAGCAAAGCCTTCATTAAAAGGACCGTGCTTTGGAAACGGGAGTGTTGTTAGAAACTGAAACTTAGCATTGTTCTGTACTCTGGGCAGACAGGGTCATTCTGGATTAGTGAATTCTCTCCAGCTGGAACTCTCTGGAACTCCGGTGGGTAGGAAGTGTGCCTCGGATAGTCCAAAGCACCTTTTCTTTACCCCCTTTTAAGTGGCAAATCATGCTGACGAGGGGCTGTACCTCTAGAATCTCAGTTTCTAAGTTGTTTGCTTTAGTCTCCTTCCATTTGTGAGACAACCAGATGTGTCTGTTGAGATATGTCATTAGATGTGTCTCAGATGGATTTGTGGGGATCTGAAAGCCTAGGGTCAGATCACCAGGACAATCTTCCTGTGGTCATTGAGCAAGCATAGTTGACCAGAGCGCTTGGAGACCGGTGTACATGTCTTCTCTTGCTGTTTGCAAAGGGGACTCAGAAAGGAGCTTTGGTATGTTGTGGGAAACAGTTGTGGTGACTTGGCTGATTGCTGATACAGAGGTTTCCAAAGAGAATCATGAGTCCTCCTTCAGGTTTTTCTGGCCCACTCAGCACGCAGAGCAAAGCCACTATAAATACTACTGTGGGGGTGTCTGTGAGCTCAGTGGGATGGGTTGCACAAGCCATTTCCAGGGGCTTCAGTTTGAAGCACGAATCAGGGAAGTAATGTGTGCCTGCCTAGTTAGAAAGGTGACTGGATTGCAGACCAAATGAGTGTGTATTCCCTAGTAAGGGGCACTCAGCTCTCGGAAAGTGTGCCGTGGTAATAATAGATTTACATGTTTGGCCTTGGAGTTACCTAGCTATTCACAGAGGCTTTTACTTTCTGAATGTAGAGTGGAAGGAGTCAGGGCCCTGGAGACTTTTGTAAAGGGCTGTACTGAGAAACTTAGCCTAAATTGAGTATGTTTTGTCCATATTTAATAACTTGGAATTCATAAAAATAAGATTAAAGATGCCTTTTTATTTACCAAAAAGCTATTTAATTTTCTCCTTGATTAAAAAATTGTAGCTTTTTAGATGAGTTCAATCAGGCAATTAAAGATCAGAGCTTTTAAGTTCAGCTAAGGCAATTAAGTAGGTAATATGGTTGTTTATACACTTGTACTGTATATACGCTCGCCGCTGTTCCTTCTTGCACGCACACAGACTCATTTTTGCTTCCTCTGATTGATGATGAGAATACATCTGAATATGTGTCACATTGTCAAATCAAAGCTGGGTCCTTTTATGGAGACTGGGGGAGTCTGATCGAGGCGGTGTGAGGAGACAGCCAGCGAAAAGAAGACGAACAAAACACTAATGAGCGATCCAAGCTTTCCCACTTTGTGTCGGTCTAAGTACTGAGAACCTGTGTTCTCCTCTGATCATCGTTTTCTAAGGCCGCTCCCCCCCCCCAGACAGAGCAGAGAATTATTAAAATGACATTGCTTTATACTCAGGAGTGCACATTTTCTAAGATGAGGAACTGGAGACATGTTTGGTTGCCTGATACCAAAGAGTAGACTTCTTCTCCCATAGAAATAGCTTGGTTTGGCATCCTGGGTTTTAAGTACAGAAAAATGGATAAGTAAAATCCAGAGCCTCTTTCTCGGGTGAGACTGTAGAACAGAGCAAAGTCTAAACAAGAAGCAGCCGCAGCCTTCCTCCCATGGTGCTTGGTCCTGTGAGTGTGCTCGGCTGCACATGGCGTCACCTGGGGATGGTGGAACTCGGAGTTCAGCAACTCCTGCCCAGGCGGGACCACCGAGGGTGCCGCTCAGTCAGCTGTTTTTCTTGTTTAGCCTTTAATATTTGAGATGATAGATGGGAGAGAACTTTGTGAATAATCAAATGTTAGTCCTATAGATTTTTGTTATAACTATGAATTAATCACTCCATCCAATCAATAAGAATACTCCATTACTAAATCCAGCCAAAGAGAGAGTTATTGTGCTTTGTGTTATAGGGTCAAAAGATTCCATAATTCCTTCTTCTAAGTTAAAGCAGATGTGATGACATCACATGAAGATATACTTATTTAAAATGTTTGAAACGCCTACCAAGATTAACTACTGTGGAAAAGCTGTCTGCATTGTCAGACATAAGTGAGCGCCCTGTGAGCACAGCCTGTGCTGACCGAGAGTAAAGACAAAGAAAGTGAGCGGGTGAGAATGTGTGGGGCCAGATCCGACATTCCAGCAAACACTGCAGCTTAACTTCAAAACATACATCACCACTAATGAGGTGAGAGCCCTGCATATTAATAAACCACGGCTCCAGTCACAGCCATCATTACCCACATCAAACATAAATACAAGATTAACACCTATGCCATTTCTGTGGGAAACGTGAGAATGCCCTGGCAGCAACTGCTCTTGCTTTCCCCGAGGATAAAAGGGAAACGGAAGGGTAATGAGAATAGAACTTAGATTAAGAAAATAAAGCCGGCCGTCAGTTGGGGCCATCATACAGAGATACAGAGAATTACAGAAAGAGAAAGCTAGACCTGTGTACCCCAGGATACCTTTCTATATATGGACCTGGGCAATTTTACTTGCCTTCTCCATTAGAAAAGCTCAAGGCTGGTGAATACCTATTAGTCCAGCCCTTGGGATGCTGGAGCAGGAAGATTGTGGGTCAACCTGAGCTATAGGGTGAAACTTTCTGAAAAGGCCACTGTGCAGAACAGTTTTGCCCAACTAGAGATCTCTGTGTAAAGAAAGAGACTTTGTCCGTAGACAGACCACCCTGAATGAACCCGATCTGTCTGATCTCAAAGAAAAAGCAAGCTAGCAAAACGCTGGAAGTCTTATCTTCCCTGGTGGTACCATCCCCAAACTGACCCCACGTGGGCTTCTCTAGGGGCTGTCTTAGGTATCTAAACTGGTGTTAGCTTATTCCATAGCTCTTTATTTCTTACCTGTGTTTGGTGTCATTGTGAGCGCTTGGGAGACATCAGTATATGTAACCCAGGCTTTCTACATTCATGAAACATTATCTTAGCAGGATGGATGAGATGACAAAAAAGAAGAGAAATATTCATAAGCAATAACTACAATAGTGAATATAGAACGCACTAGAAGGTGGTTAGCTACAGGATGGAAGAGTTGAGCGGATCCAGCACCGCAGGGACATGGGGGGCTTGCTCCCATGGCGACCACAGAGAAGATGGCCGTGGATGAAGGCTTGGAGGAGTAGAGTTGGTCAAGCTAACACGAGGGCATTTCTGACAGCATGGCCCAGCAACTCCTCTCCTGGATGTTTACACAGGAGAAATGAAGCGTTTGCCCCACAAAACTAGTGAGCAATTTTTCCCAGTGGCTTTATTCATAAAAGACGCAAATTGGGAATGAGTGATGAGTCTTTTAGCAGGTAAAGGGTTGAACATCCAGACAGTGGGGCGTGGCTCAGCAGGGAAGTGACTGAACTGTCCCTGCAGCAGCATGGACAAATTTCAGACAAGTCACACTGAGACTCCAGCTAAGCATACTCTGGGAAAGGTAGATCTGAGGATGGGAAGCCTTAGTAGATGTCAAAGGAAGGGTGGGTTGTAAAAGTATGAGGGGAACTTAGGACTCATGCTTCGGGAGCTAGGCAGACATTGGGGCCTTTGTTTTGTCTTATTTTGTTTTTTAAGGAAGGAAGCGAGGGAGACCTTTGATTACCTGGGGAGATGCTTAGAGTGCACAAGGAACAAATTTGAGGGCCTGAGTTAGGAACCCCAGTCCCCCTGTCAACAGACAGGCAATGGAACAAAACTGTGACCCCCCACAGGAGGAGAGGCCCATAGAAGAGGACTCCTGAGGCTCACTGGCAGTCAGTCTGGCCATATCAGTAAGTTCC